AATATTTTTATCTAGAGTAGGATTGTATCCTTTAGCAAATTCACGTCCAGGTACCTGTAACAAGATTAATACATATGATAATTCTAAGCAGAGAATATCAAATTTCTATTCTTTTTGTAATTTTCATGATACAAACTGTATGCATTCTTTCATTGATCAACTTATTGTCTTATGAAATATTGTATATATGGTTACAGTGTTATGATTAAACGGTAATTTATGGTATGTAAAGTTGATGAATTTCTATTGTAAAATCTCCCTATGTTATACATATATACATACCAGTTGCAGTATTTTAAATCTTTCCTCATCTTGCTCAGCTGTATAATACATTTCTGGTACTGTAAATTCGTTTCTCATATAATCGCAATGCAGGAAATACCGATCTATATACAACTGTCTCTTAGTTCGTAGTTCCTGAACATTTTCAAATCTCCAATCTGCCATTTCTTAGCTTTTTTATCATAATCAAAATTCAAAACTCTCGATGTCCTCAACAATAGTAGAAATGTCTCCTTCGTTCGTCCAATCATAGACTAGTACATGAGAATGTGAGACAATATTTTTAAAATAATCCAACTTATATAAATTTTCGATATCTTGAAGATACTTTGATGTGAGAACTTTTGAATTTACTTCGTACGGTATATTCTGTTTCTTTATTTTTTCCTGCAAAAATATTAACATAATAGAAATTAACATGAAATATTTTAAATTTAAATTAATATATATACAAGTTAAGTTTGTACCGATGTATTATTTATGATAAAATAAAATTACCTTGACTGCATCAACGGGTACATCCAAATAAACAATTAAGTGAGGTCTCAGCATCATTAATTTCGCGACGTCTACGACGTCGGTGTAAAATTTCAATGCCTGTGGACGCATATACCGGCATTTGTCATCGCTGTTGCGAATATGTAATCACTGTAGAAAGAACGATTGAGCACCACTCCTTGGCCAGTCGACAACAAGTGCAACAGAGCAGTAATGTACTGATCAAACTTGAATTGGAAATAGTGGAATTGAAACATGGTCACATTGGGATGGTGCGGATCAGTCAGGAATTTTTCTACATCACACGATTGAGATGATGGAGATAATCTGTCATCTAGCGAACGCAAATCGTATCCATATTCAGTTATGTAAAATTCATCAAAGGTTGGTGGTGGCAAATAGATCATTTCAAACTCCTCTGCTAATTGGCATTTGGCGGCCACTTAGACTTCCTGCAGCGATCGGACCTTCAACGACGATTACCTTGGAGTTTTCGTCGGAGCATCGATCCACCATTGGATCAAAAAGCTGAGCCCAAAAACCATATTCTTTGTTCAAGTAATCGAACGGTGGAACTCGTCGTCGATCAACTCGTTTCGACTTATGTGAGATGAATGCTAACTGCATTACATTGTTGGTGGCTGTTACCTGCACAATTCATACATACTATATATCATGACATATCGTTTGACAGAATATGCATACATTTATATCAATATTATTTGAAATATTCTTTAGTGTCGTCTATAAGGAGAAACCTCTTTCTTTAACGATGAATATCATTTATATTGATGATTCAATTTAATTATCGATATCTTAAATACTCTGTAGAACGTTGCCAAAAATAAAATCTGTTAACACTGCGTTAATACTAACCTTACATAATTGTCTAGTAAGATTATTGTATCCGAGTTTCGCGATACCGATACGAGCGATCGATGCCATTTTGTTGTTGTAAATATATTTCTGAATGAAGAAGAATAAATATATTCGTTACAGATTAGAATGGAAGGTAAACATGCTCGAAATCTCTTGAGATTCGTTAACCTAACTCACTTATATCTCTCATAAGTTCGACTTCTGAAGTCAGCCGACAGTCGACGTCCTAGTCCCATATGATCTGTCAGTGGTGATCAACTCGCGATTTCTACAAATTGATAAGGTTATCTCCTTGATATAAAATTTTCTTTTTTTATCAAAAACAGCGCATTTTCTCGCACATTTATCAAATTTACAATAATACATAATTTTAATAAAGAAATAATTTAATATATATAAATAATTTATAAATAATATAAATAATTTAATATATAAATACGACTAAAAAAGAATCGGAGTATGTAATTGGACGATGTTAGAAAAATGAAAATATTCTTTGAGAACTGGTGCGAGATCCTTTTACCTAGTGTTTTGGTTTTCGTAGGTTGACAGCTCGTACGAATTGTCAGAAGTCAGCACACACACAAGGAAAGTCGTTGTCAGTGTCGCTTGGAGAGTTGCGTCAAATTTCATGGGCGAATGATTGAGGTACGGAACGGATAGGAGAGAAACGGAGGAAAAAGTGGAAGAGTACGCAGTGTGTATACATACAACCGTTTCGTCGTGTGGATCATCAGCAAAAGACGACGACGACGACGAGAATGAGCGAACTCGTTTGGGGGATAAAGAACGGCGATCTCGAGCAAGTGCGAGATATCGTCGAAAACAGGCAAATATGACATCGTAAAACTTGTAAAATTTCGAAAAAAAATGCACGCATCCCGATTATGCATATATAATGCGTCTCTCTAGATTATTAAGTATTCGCAAAAGGTCGTCGAACAATATTGGAAAATGTTTGCATACCTTGATGCCGGAAGTATATACGAGCAGATGTGAGCAATTATAACACATTGGCACGTCTCCTCAGTTATCTGCCACTAACAAGTTTTGATCTTGCTCTCTTTGCATGTCTTAAACGTCTGTATACTCCTTTCATAAACTTATCCTAGATGAGACAGCAATCTGAAATTGTAATCAATCTAACTGTACAGCAGCATATATTTTAGAATTATTAGATAAATCGTACTTAGAAGAAAGTTGCAAAATAAATTAACAATGTATCTTATAGCAAACTTTAATAAAATACTTTTATTATAGTATTCTAGTTATATATGTGTTATAGAATTAAAGCTAAAATAAAAGATATGCTTTGTCATCTGCTATTGTTATTGATTGCAGAATATTGATGTAAATCAAATGATTGATGGAAGAATGCCACTACATTATGCAGCAGATTATGGTCAAAGTGAAGTCGTTAGATATTTGTTGGAGAAAGGAGCAAATGCCAATGTAAGTTACCTCTACTAAATTAACATCTCAAAATATAAAACAATTAATCAATATTATAATTCAGTAATTGTATATTATGGATATAATTGTTTTACATTTTGTTTACAATTGCTCGTTCCTATAATTTCATAATTAGTTCCATGATACAATAGACTTTTTTGTTCAACATCTGAAATATATCAAAATATGTATAGCAAAATCATACTATAATTATATTATTTATAGGCCACAGATAAGCATGGAATCACAACATTACTGGCAGCAATTTGGGAAGGACATACAAACTGTGTAAAACTGTTGCTGGAGAAAGGCGCTAAACGGATGGTTTAACACCAGACGGCACAAGTTATCTGGACGCGGCTGAGAAAGACGAGATTAAACAACTCTTGAAACTTCACTAGCATAAAGCTAAACAACACGCGAAATATTAATTTTGTTATTTTAATACGTTAATGTTCCTCCTTATAGAGAGAGAGACTATTCCACCACAGCTTTGTTTTGATTTCTCGCCTATGATGACTAGGATATCATATTTAAACACTCTAAATTAAATGAACATAGGTACGTGGATAATGTTTTATAATAATAATAATAATAATAATAATAATAATAATAATAATAATAATATAGTATACTGCATGTGTCAATAGAATATATAATGAAATTATCTTCTTCTCGCGATCATTAATTTTTTATGGTTCTAAAGACACTTATATAAGTTACAGATTTAGAATAAAAAGATATTATTCGGGCGCATAGTTGCGATTAGTTATGATTAATTTAAATTTTACACAATCATACATACATATACCAATATAAAATATAATATATTTTGATACATCCTCTAAGGTGGTATATATTGTTTGTTATTAATTTATAGCTCCTGAAAAACTTTTTTATACATTTTTATGTCGCAATTGTTTATAATATCTTATTCTCCATTTTAAGTCTGATATTTTCGTGATTAGGTCTGTGGGATTCCTTATACTCTGAAACAAAGTGCTAAACTGTCCTTTGAGATACTTGTACGTTGAGTTGACTTTTGAACGAGATATGTGAAAATTGCGACAAAAAAGAATTAATACATTTGCAATGCTAACAACGTGTAACGTATCTAATGGATGCTAAGGATGTACAATAATCAAAAGTAACAAGCAAATACATCATTGTTATATGAAACACAATTGAGCTTGTCTCTTATACCCAATTATGCAAGCCACTCTGAATCTAATTCCAAAAAAATGACAGGAAGAATATATTACTATTAATATAAATTTTAAAATAAATTTAAATATAAAAAATTAAATATAAAATTACTTTTTATATTATTAAATCATTGAAAATAATTTGATATCATTGAAATATTAATTAACACAATATGACTTATTAAAAGTAAAATTCAGAGATGTGAAATGAATGTAGATATCTGCACATGGATATAAATGTTGAAAATTAAGCAAATTGGTATTGCAGATTTTTATACAAATAAAATATTCACTAAACACATATCCTATATATTTTGAATACAATAGCAATAATATAATATTCGTATATTATATACAATCAATTATCGACTTTGCTAAAAGAAGCAAATTATATTCCACAAAGGACCACAAAATGTAAAGTTCATAGAAGCCGTCCTCTACAATTCGCTGCACCACATTTACAAATGATTACTTTACCCGGAATACTTCCTACATCGTAACTATAGTTCCACGTTAGCTCTTGTCCAGCTTTTATGTATTGTAAAGCGAAAAATGCCACCCACGGAAAACGCACATCGTGTGTATCGACGAAAACATTTTGCACAAATATGTTTGGATCGCAAGAGTGCTAAAGAAATATTTAGGTATAAGAATAACTTACATTTTTTACATTAAAAATTCATATATCATAAATATAAAAATGTTAAATTAAATGAATTAGATACTAAGATAGATATTTCAAAATTTCGAAAAGTTTTAAAGTTTAAAATTTTTATTTTAAATGTAATTTAAATGATAGAAATTTCTTTTACTCACATTCAAATAGCGACCGATATTTCCAGTCGTTTTGGCATCCATGATGTAAACGGCTTCATCTTCGCCGAAATAATCTCTTACAGATTTGAATGTTGGTCTCTCTATTTGTTTTGGCTCTACACTCGGTTCAAATCTACTTGGTTCCCTTCTTACATCGTTTCTGCTGTCATCATCATCACTTATATTGATTGTATCGTAAATTTCACTGATGGATGATTTTGCCATATTTTCCGAACCTTTTGTAATGCTTCCATCCTCGCTATTCTCTTCGGACACATCCGGTTGATTATCTGTTTCATCTCTTTTCCGTTTTCTCAGGCGTTTTCTGACGTAACAAAACTTGCAATTTTTTTCATTTCCAACAAATATTACAATTTAATAAAATATATTGTAATACAATTGTAAGAAGTATAGATTTTTACTTTATATAATATTTTAGTAAGTACATAAATTATCAATTATGATAAAGTTAGAGAATTAAACGTGTAAGAACCTGATAGACGAAGATTCCGCAGTTGTTTCAAACAAATCTTTATTGTCAGCTACGTAAGAATCGATATTGAAATCTTCATCCGAATCATTGGTGTTTTCTTTCGTATTATCTTCCTCGTCGCTGGCTTTCTTTTTATCATTCTCCGCGACTGATTCGAGCGGCATTTCTGGTTCGAGGACATCGCTTTCGTATCCCTCCTTGAAACCTTCTACCACCTCCACATAATCTAACTCTGCCAGATATTCGTCGCCATAATTCTTGCCTCCTTCGTTAGCGCCCTATAAATTAACACAGATATAAGGTAATAAATAAATAAATCAGCGGATCTACGAATCGAGATTGATTCCAATTATTCGCACTTGTTCAGTGAGTAGTCTTCCTGCATATATACAGATAAAAGCACCATGGGGAATGTCATTGAGGCACCTTATGCCCCAACCGCGTGGTCCTGTTTTAAATACTTGTAATCTTAACCCGAGGGGATGCTGCACCACCCTGTTGAGACACGTTTTCACTGAACACTTGCATCCGGAATTACATTCGTAGATTCCCGTGGTCACCGGTTCGGGCAAACGTTTATAAACGTAACCAACGTCGGTATTTGGCACTTTTCCTCCCAAAGTTGCCCCTTGTATAGTTAATTGCCAGCATTGGCATTTTGCTTTATCCTGTCATTACATATTATATAAATAGAGTAAGGTATAATATAAATTATAACACATAAATTTGTAATTATATCATAGTAATTTTATAGTTTCATACTTGACAATCGTCCTCGCAATCGCAGCTGCATAAAAACGCAGGATCCAAATTTAAATTAACGCCTTCCGTTGGCTCTCGATCTGTGGTGTATCTTATAGTATCCGGTTGAGTGTGATCCAACTCGTTCACACACGGTATCGATATATTTCCACGCCATAACTGAGATCCTTTTGAATATAAAATCACAATGTTATTCGCATATTTTAATATATCTATATGTATATTTATAATATATAACATACTAGTATATTCTAATACATTTCCATGCAATATTGATAGTTTTTCATATCTTTATGAATATTTTTAATTAAGATTTTTACATTTTAATATGCAAAAGACTTACGTTGATATTAATAAAGCACTTCTCCACGACAAAATCCGCGAAGGCGCGCACCCAGTAATCGAAATCAAACGAATCGACGGACAAAGTGCTATCAGTCATACGAAGATAACGATGCAATTCCTCCATATTTCGCAGCCTGATACCACATGGTGCCTGATACATAATAACTTTTTTGTTTTTAGAATATTTACAAAGCTGACGATGCCAGCCACATAACAGAGGAACAGAAAGCGGAGAGAGTCCTTTGAGATCGTTGTGCGAAACTTTAATATTTCTGATACATTTTGGTCCACACTTGTGAGAAACGTATTGCTTTGGTTCATATTTCCTCTGTGTGTGGTAAAACTAGACAAAATTTAGCATATGAATATACAAAACCTATGTCTCAAATTAAAGAAATTAGAGTATATTATTATTGAATAATTATAGCACATACATATAATAATGTGCATGTGTGATATGAATTATTATTTACTTACAACGATACTATGCGACGGTTTCGTTTCTATCATAGTATTATATGTTGTACTTTCTACATTACTTTGCCTTTTAGCAGTACTTTTTTTAGCTACAGCACGTGATTGCTGTGGTACAGTGGACGATGAACTGGATGCTATGCTTGTAGGAGTTGTTGCTTTTTCTGCTTGTACACTTTGTGATACATCTTCTTCTACATTAGATGTATATTCAACATAAGGCAAATTACTTTTCTGCAAAAATTATACCGTTAATTAATAAAGAAGTATATCTAAATTATGTAATTAAATATTTTCAATACCGTTGATGTTTTTTTATGTATTTCGAAAGTGACTTAATTATTCGCTTACATTAGAAACGGCCGGAATACGATGTCGAACGTGTGCGCTGCCTGACTGTTGAAGTTGTTGTCTCGCATTGGCTTTTAGAATTTCAAGATACAAAGGACCTAATCTAGTTGATCCACGATAAATCCATTCGGTTCTCTTATCGGCATCAAAATACATTTGCACTAGACTCGCGTCGACCTGGATGACTCTCGCGAGCCACCATTTACCCTTCCATTCAGTCTTGACCACCTGGCCTGTTTGTAGTTTCACCATTGGCCTCTCGGGATACGATTCCAGATACTTTTTCACGAATTCTCGCGATTCTTTGGGAACATCTTCCCAAACTCTCCCAAGAGAGATCTCCCAAACCAGTAAAATATCTTTGTGAGTAACATACTGAGCATAACCATCGTCAAAAAATACTAAATATCTGTGATAATAAAAAATTAATTTAAAATATATAATACATAATTTAATATTACAATATATGGCAAAATTTATGAGAAACTATTTATATATCTTTATTTTGTTACACAATTGAACAACATTTACCTATATTTATTTGTAGACTTTGGTGGTTCAGCAATTATTCCACTGTAATAATTATTAGAATTAACATCGTGAAATATAGCTATAACTCGTGTTCCAACTGGGATCATAACTGGACATATTTCAGCTACTGCAATCATCTTGCCAGAAATAGTCTTGAGTATTGCTTGAGCATGCTTTTTTTGCAATAATTTCACTCGAAAGATCCATGGATTTGTTGAAACTATGCTGTGAATCTGTAAAAATATTTCCGTATTATAATATTTTTTGATTCCTTGTTTATCTAATAAAAATATGAAAAAGAAAAAATGTTATTCAATAGGGATTGTACAAACCTTTGCTTTTATCCATGACATAACTGGATTTTTCATAATATAAACCATAGTGTCTATTTTTAGAAGTGGTTTCACGAGAGGACCAGTTGGCGGTAATTTAGGAACTATTACTTTTTTAATATTTGATGGTTCAATTGCTAAAACTTCCAACTGATTATCTTGTGCTAATGTGGCTGGTGGGACACGCATTTGCGTCACTTTCTTTGTAGCAACAAGCGGAAGGGCATTTTCTGTAATCCCATCGTTTATTTGAAGTTCCTCAAGCATTCTAATTTGTGGTCTAAAATCCTCATATAACTGGTTACGCAATTTATCCATGTTCCGCATTACTTCTCGTATTTCAGTATGAAGAGACTCATTTGTCGCTGTTAATGCATAATAAAATATAAAATAAATCTAATTTAAATATCTTATCTTGGTTAAATAATATAAAAGATATAGATTTATATTTTTTTCTAGTATTTTACCACGTATATCTTGCCATTTTTGTTTCAGACAAGTATATGCAATTTCAGTCTGCTGTTCTATATTATACTTCTTAGTAATATTTAATAATGTAGAATCTAATTTATTTTTAATATCTAAAAATACGTCTTCTGGTATATATTCTGCAAAAAGAAAAAAACACAAGAGTTATAATTTTTATATTTTACTAGTTTATTTAATTGTAAAATTAGATTGTATTTCTTTTGATTTTTAAATAAAATTAAAAGTTCAATATACCATCATTATCCAGTTCCTTTTTTTTGTCATCATCAGAATCATCACTATCAGAAATTTCTACTTCCATTGTATGATCAGGAAAGTCACAGTCTAATAGTGGTTTATTTTCTACAAGAGCTGTTACCAGTTGCTATAAATGTAATAATAAAAATAAAATTAGTATATGTCTACATATTTTGACATATTATCACATTATCCAATTTATCCATAGAATAATATTTTAAAAATTACCCTCTGATGTTCCAGTGCAGCATCAAAACATTCTTTACATATCACACGTTTTTTCTTTTTTTCTATTGAGACTCCATAAAAAGCACACGCAAAGGAAGGTGCAACCTTTATATTTAATCCAGAGCGACATTTAAAATTGACGCAATTACTATTGCATGCTTTAGATTTGGATTTTCCTGTATTCTCATCTTCATCGGACATCAATTCAATGACTTCCATTTTTTGTGTCATTTTCTTGGTAGTTATTTCAATTAATAATTATTGAAAATTAAGTTTTATTCAGCTTAACATTTTGAAAAAATATTGTTTAGACAGAAAGTATCTTTTTGTTACATGAACATTGTTAAATAAAAGATATTTATGTAAATTGCAAAAGAATTGCATATATAAACAAATACAATTCTTTCTAATCTATAACTTAACAATTTTATTTCCTTTATAAATTAATTATATAAATATCAGTTGTATATTTGAGATTTAACAAAAAAAAAGATAATAGAGGAAAAGATTAAATTTCTTGAGTAAAAACGCGAAACACGAAAATAAAAACAAATTACTTCAATAATCTCTAAAATGTGCCGCAAACTCCGTAAACTGAAGCGACAGCAAGTGACGCGAATTCAGATTAGGTTAGTTTAATTGAAGGCAATATAAAAAAACCTTAAGTCCCTAGTTTATAGTTTTTAGGGACTTTATGAAGAATAGCAGCATGGCGCCTCTCAAATAATTTCCCTCTTTTTCTGACCACGTTGAGGACTTGAGGAACGTTGTTTGATTAAAATATTTAAAATGACGAATAAAATATTGAAAAGGAAACAAAAAGTTGAAGAGAAAGAAGCAGAAAAACAAGATGAACCGAAAAAGATGTCAGATGAACCACCTGCTAAAAAGGTTGACGAATAACTAGATTTATATTATTTTACTTAACCTAACTATAATATTAAATAGACTCATTTAAATACAAATGTTACATTTTATAAAATCTATCGAGTTTTTTTTTTTACGAGAAACATTCAACAAAATATGAAGAAATTCAGAGAAATGATTGTTAATTTGTACAATTTACATTTTATTTTCTACAATCTGTACAGCTATGTTTATCAATGAAAAATTAAAATTAGAAAAAATATAATTTTTATTTTTAATAGGTGAAATGGATTAACAGACAACGAGTATTAGTCTTTGCTACTCGAGGTATCAATTATAGGCATCGACATCTTATGGATGATTTGAAAAAACTAATGCCACACCACCGTCCAGAGTGCAAAATGGAACGAAATAAAAATTTGCAAGTAGTGAATGAAATGTGCGAGATAAAGAATTGTAATAAGGCTATCTTGTTTGAAGGTCGAAAAAAGCGCGATCTTTACATATGGTTTGCTAATGTACCTACCGGTCCAAGTGTGAAATTTCTTATAGAAAACAGTACGTATTATTTTTATAATTAGATTTAAGAAATTGTGTAAAAGAAATTAAGTATATATATATATATATATATATATATATATATATATATATATATCATTAACTTCCAGTTTATACAATGGGGGAACTAAAAATGACAGGAAACTGTTTGAAGGGATCGCGCCCGTTATTATCCTTCGACGAAAATTTCACCACACATGCTCATTATAGTCTTTTAAAAGAACTATTAACACAGATTTTTGGCGTACCAAATCATCATCCTAAAAGCCAGCCATTTTTTGATCATGTATATACATTTAGCGTTTTGGATAATAGGATCTGGTTTCGAAATTTTCAAATTTTAACTGAAGACGGTGGATTAGCCGAAATTGGACCAAGATTTGTTCTGAATCCAGTCAAAATATTTGCTGGAAGTTTTGGTAGTGATACTTTATGGGATAATCCACATTATATTTCTCCCGCCAAGGTAACACAACATTCTTATATTTGATGTAGAGTTGTGTGATTTATTACCTGTGCAAAAAATGTATGTACTTTATTTATTTAAAAATTTTAGTATCGGCAATCGTTGACAAAAAGAGCTGCCAATAAATATATAAATAGGGTGGAACAGAAAATGGCACAAGAGGCAAACAAGCCTGATGAATCTTATGCACTTAATCCTACAGACGAGATATTTAAGGGCGATTTATTGGAGAAGGCAAAAGAAATAGAAAAAAAACTTGAGGCATTTGATAAAAGTGAAAATACGGACAAGATTACAAAAAAAGATAAAAATAAGGTAAAAAAGATAAAAAAGAAGTCTGTAGTACCTAAAAACATTAAAAAAGGAAAATCTGTTAAAAACATTAAAAAAGGAAAATCTGTTAAAAACATTAAAAAAGGAAAATCTGTAAAATCAAAAATTTTGAAAAAAAGAAAGTAAAATAAATATTACCGTATTGTAATATTATTAATAAAATATTGATAAAATTTCATGTATATACATGTAAGATTTATTTTATAGAATTATTTAGCACCTACAGTTAAACATATTCAACCAATTAAGATTATGGATCAATTTAAAACACGTTTTTGATTAATTTACATAAAATTTATGTATTAAACATTTTATATTTATTTAATTATAAAATTGTAACATTAAAAATTACAAATATAATGATGATAATGTTCTGTATAATTTATATTATGAAAAGAATTATAAATTTTATCTTAAGATTTGTGAGCATTTGTTATAACTCAATATAGTAAAAAACAAACAGATTTTTTCATTTTTTATTTTATTCATATGATATATAATTTTATAAAGAACAATTGAAAACAATCTCATAGCGTATTGACATAATGTTAAGTAAATATAACAAAATACTTTTTTTTCAAATACTGCATTGTGTATATTTTTGTTGTGCTCTTAAAAGATCTTTTAAATTTAATATATAATTTAACTAATACAAACTTATTTTTTAATAATTTTTCTTAATTACTAATACACGTTTTGTACTCAAGACAATCAATTTTTTTTCTTCAATAATAATATTTATAACTTTTAATTATATGTAACATTAATATCATAATAGCTGTTAATTATTTAAAGCATATTGGATCAAACTGCTCGATAATACTTTGTACTAATTAGCATGCCATACTTATTAATACAAATTCATCTCATATAATTATCTATAATCTTATAATTTATCATATAATAATACTTTAAATGCATTTTAGAAACTACATTCTTATTATCTAAGTATAAACTGAAGTTTTAATCTTGTATTGCTTTCTTTTTTTATATATTTGATCGGAAGGAATGAGAGAAAATAGACTTTCCATTTGCAATAAGCAGAATAACCATTTTTCATCGTTATGACAAAAATACTTTGTATATCCATATAATATACTTCATGTAAAACATTTTTTTAATTACAAATAATTGTACTTTGTTGCATTAAAATACATATTTCTTATAAAGAGTAGTTACATAGATTCTTCATAATAATGTTTCTTGCATTTGCTTTTAATAATACTTAAGATCAATATAAATATCATCTTATAAATGTTTCTATAAGACATAATTAAATTTTTAGTTTGTGCAATGGCACTTTGATGACACAGTGTTACATGTTTAGAAAAGATATAAATTGGATTTATACTCTTTATGTTCATTATATTATTTAGATATTTAGTCCTGATGGGCTATGAAAAACTTCTTATAAAACAGTGTAATCTTTCTCTCAATGATGGTAAAAATTACAGAGTACATCTTAAAGTCTGGCAGTTAAATGAAGAGCTGGCATTAAGTACAAGCAGATTATATACCTGGATAATAAATTATCCGTATTATTCCCCATTTTACAAGCATAATTCATTTTGTTGCATTATCAAACTGTGAGTTTGAGATTCTTGTGTGTCAATCAAAATTGCCTAAATATCTTTTTTGTGCTGCCAAAAAATGAACAATAATTCAGTCTGAATAAAATCTGATAATGATGTCACAAAAGACCTGTAGTCTTAACAGAATTAATACCAAGAAATCGTAATATTATAAAATTACATGATTAGATAAAAATATTATATAATAATGACATATATATCATTATATATAATATTATTATTATAGTATTCATTTATGTTTTGTTGTATGTAAAAACTATGTTATAAATGATTATATATCATCACACATAACAGACATTAAACATCTTAAAACATTCTAAAAATAATTCTCGTGATAAATTTTTGTAAAGTTATTTGTATAATGATACGATATTGTGAAAAGGAATGAATTCTCATTAGTGTCTTAGGTAAAGTGATAAAATGCACAAAAATAAGTATTCCAACAATATAAAAAAAATATACGTACGAATAAAGATGTATAAAAAATATGCATATAAATACTTATTCATTTATTGGTGTCATTTCGTGGGACTGTTGGCCGTTTGTGTTGCTGCTGAAGGATCCGAGTTGTGCTAATGCAGATTGTCGCCATTTTCCATTATCACCATTCAAGTTTTTATCCTCACATATACACAAGAATAGCGTGTCAATGACAGTCTAAAATAATAGAAATTACCTTATTATAATAGGAGATTTGATTCACTTGTTTGCAAAATCTTAATAAAATGTTATAAGTATGAAGAAGTTATAAGTATAAAGAAATTTATGTGACTTACCTCGTAAAGAGAAATTATACAATGAGCGATAAAGAATGAAAAAACGCAAACAATAAAGATCGGAATAGCGTAAAAATGAAGAGTAGGATCTCGTCTCATCAAGAGCAATGCGACAATTCCGGTTGCAGCCGTGACGAAACACTTTCCCAAGAACAATATAAAATCGCCAAATCCGTTGATTACTGCTACTTGCAGAGCATTATTGACGAGTGTTGTAAAGGCCTTAAAACAAATAAAATTTATAAATCTTATCATTTTTACACAGTTGATTTTATATATATCATATTCTTTCCCTTTCTCAAGATCCCATATTATCATATATCTATAATTACTATTATTACATATTATATCTATAATAATCTGTAGAGAAAGTTTTTTATTGTTTATAAATATTATAAATTCTTTGACACTAAAACATACTGTTTTAGCTGCATCGCAAAAATAGGTACCCTCTATAGCAACAACAGTGTATGCATTTTGATTCATATATCGAATAAATTTCTCTAAACAGTAGAAACAGCAAATGCAACATTTCAAACCACACTGGGAGCATGGAGATGTTTCCTTAGTCTTTTCAAATCTATGGAATAATATAAAAAGAGTTGATACACAACAATTCAAAAATCAAAAGATATTTGAAGGAATTAAAAAATATCTAATAAATTATTTTTTATGAAACCTATAAAACTTACTTGGTATGCAGATATGTTAAAATTAGTCTGGGCAATTTAAAAATAGTTATCAAAAATGATCCACACGCTACAGAGCCTAAATGATAACAAATCAAATTCCCTATAGATAAACACACTGGAGATTTGCTGGCATTTTTACCTCTAATAAAAAGAATTCAGAAAAGAAAAATTAATCATTATATCATATTATATTATTATTGTATTATATTATAAAATATTACCTAAAGTACCAATGGGCAACAGAACCCGATATTACCATGGTTTGACATCCAACAATAAATTCTGATACCCATATGAGTCCAATAAGATAAACCCACCACATGTATTTTACCCAAGTTGCATCAACATATTCCACAAGAGTAAATGCTGCTAACCACAATGTTTAATAATTCATTATTTGATTTTCTTCATTGATTATAAGACAATCGATTGTTCAAGTGAAATGATATACATTACTTTTGAAACTCTCTAGAGAAAAGTCTATTTTTTTCTCTTCAATTAGTGGAGCATTTTCACCAATTGAACTTAAATTCAAACGACTAAATATATTGTTTTTGTACATTTGCACTGACTTTGTCTCAGGATAATCTGCAATAAAGTATAAAATTTCTCTGATTATAAATTATCTTTTGCCCATCAATTAAATATTGTAAAATACTTACTAGCTGTTGCAAGACAAAGAATTATAAATACCCAAAAGGTAAAAAAGATGATTAAAGATATAAATGTTAAGGCTGGTTCGAAAAATAAACCGGGTAATTCTTTCAAGCATTTTGCGCTCTCTTTGAATAGTGCTGTCATAAAGCTGATACGTTTGCGTAGTATGAGTGAAAGAAATAGTAAAATAATCTGTATAAAATAAAATAAAAAAGATTTTATTAAATTGTATTAAAAACAACTTTTACATTATAAACTCTTGTTTGTTAAAAATTTTATATATTTATATATTTATTTTATTATAGAGTTATACTTACAGTAATAATAGTAGCAATAATGGAAAACGCAAGAAACGCTCTTTCATTTCGAACAGATTCTTCAAGAAGTTCATTTGGGTCAGTTTTGTCCAAAGTTTTCTTTATATCAATATATGTCATCCATAAAAGAATTGTACCAGCTATAATATATTAGACATCTTTCTGTTATTCTATTCTATTCTATTGTATATTATCAATTTTAAATGCATACAATATTAATTTGCAATCTTTGTCATATACTATAATTGTCATCAAAATAATTTTTTTAAATAAATTAAAATTTTCAAAAATTTCGTGTATAATATATATACAACATAAATGCAAATAATTCATATAAAAAGTCTACATGTCACCTATTGTTATATTTTTTGATATTATTTTTGTAAACATTGTTTACATAAATACAATCAGTTTGACATAATATATTGACAAAGAAAATTAAAATCTCACATTAATATTCTATAGAATGTATACCTTACCTGTGCAAGCAATGCTTACAAGTACAATTATAATCCATGTCACAAGACTTGCCAATAAATGAAAGATGGATATTGTAAGGATCGATAAAACTAAAAGAAGATAAATATCTGCTGTAGAACTTGTATGCATTATAATGTAGTAATATATGCAAACTTTCTTACCACAAGCAAGAAAAGATAATGCTAGAATTTGCTTCCAAGTTTTGTATAGGTCTCCCAAAACTTGTTCAATAACATCCCAAGAATTGATTAAGCCATATAAATTCGAGATTATCGTTTCGCCCACATCCTGGACTGCCTTGGGAATACAGCGATTTAAAACGGGCGTACTAGGATAAACTGGCATCTCGGGGCAAGACCCATTCTTGAATTTGCTACTCTGGCCGGTACACGCGCTAAAATCACCGCCTGGTCTGTCGTGGCATAATTGTGATCCCGTTTCTTCGTAAAATGTACAAATATCGTCCATTGTCCGCAAGACTCTGTCGGGACATTGTTTCACACAAATTTTTAAGGACTGTGTAACATTATTTATATCCAGGAAGAATAAGTATCTGAAATATAATATATTTATTTTTAGACTATATAAAAATAGATTCAGACTTTCAATCAAAAAGATAAAAAGTGTGAGAAATACTGACGGCTTGTCACTGGTATCTTGCCCAGAAAGCTCCATGCTACCAAATTTGGGATTATACTTTACTCCACATGTATTTCCAAAACTATCATATCCATTTATAAGTCGTACAGGATTACCATAGACTATGGCAAAGGCAGCAATCAAGATCTGTAGACAGAAAAGTTATCCCGTTAGATCCTAAAACTATCTTGCTATAATAATTAACAAGAAATTTATTTAATAAAACTAAAAATTCTAAATTTTATATAAGTTTTCTTGCAGAATCACAGCTTATATAAAAATGTTATCATAAAAATATACTATATAGTTGATAAAAACTATTCTTACATATTTTTATATATTTATTCTTATACATATTTTATTATATTTTTATATATTATTTTTGTCTTATATATTATTAATTCTTAAATATTCTCAATATTGGAGCACAGGCGTCTTTAAAAAAAATTATACTTGAATGTGTACAGTAGGCATTTGTGTACATACCATGAGAAACCAGAATGCTATAAAGAAGCAGAGCCAAAAAACATCCGTGCATCCTTGCACCCGCATGGGCTCGGCGCGTTCCTCATTCTTGTCACCGGTGCAACAAGACATTTCGTTTCTCGCTTTCACACCTGTTATTTTATATAACAAAAAGGCACTTGTTGAGCAAAGTCGTTATTGTTGTGTCGCCGCGCGTCCCTTTTGACTCGGAATAATCCACGCCCAGTGCCGTAACGAGGAACAGGAAAAGCTAACGATAAAAGAGATGGAAATGTTTTATCATTTATCAGTCACGATTAATGCTGTGGTCATTAATAAACGTTCCAGGTGTTTTTCTCAGTAATTCCTCAATTTAAACTCTCTACATGACTTAAATATTCGCTCCGCACGAGTCGTATCTCGTTTTCGCTATTGTAAATAATCGTATGGATTATTTTCGTGTTTGCTTCGAAAATTTCATCTCTGTTTTCTTTTTAAAAATTAAAAATTGATTTAAAAATTTAAAAATTTTTTAATTTTAATTTTAATTAAAAAAAATTTTTTCAAAATTTTTCCAGGGAAATTTGTTAGGGAATGCGATCATCGTGACGGCCCTGAAAACGCGTTCCGGCGTAGTATCGTTTCCACGGCAACGAACGCGTACGTCACACGACGAATTAGCGAGGACTTCACTTCATTGAAGGCCGCCCCGCCAGTGTTGTTAGACGGGCTAGGTTTTTTCGCGCATGCGCGTATTACCGTGACGTAACCATGACGACTACAGTAACGTATGATGTTTGCGCGCGCAACTATGGACCAAGACCCTGGACCACGGAGTTTTGGCGGAATCGCAGGAAACAGATAAATTGAACGTACGTAAAAATAAATAAATTATTACAATATATGTAATATAAAAGTGTATTATTATAATTTATGTATATTAAAATTAATCAATAATTCAAATTATAAATTGTATAAATAAAAACTAAACTCGTAATTTACGTATGTTATAACATAGGTACACGTATATGTATATATTTTATAATTTCATTATTTGTTTATTGTATGTTTATATTTAACATTTTTAATTAAATTTATTACATTTATAATAAAAATTATACGATTCATTAATTATTTTAAAAAATTTTCAATAATTTAAGAAAAATTAAACAGAGGGGGAAATCAGGACCCCATTTCATGCGAGTGACTACTTCATTAATACTACATTCAATGCGCATGCGCGAAAAAACCTAGCCCGTCTAACAACACTGCGCCCCGCCGCCGCGATATGACAGCACCAGGGAGATCATCGCGCATGTTGTAGGATCGGATGTGTATATATCGTTAACAAAACAAATAATCTCCGTCTCGCACCGTTTAATCATCAAATTCCGATTAGTGAGTATCGCTACTCGTAAACATATCGTGTCCTCAATCGTACTCGGGAATTGTCGGAGCATCGAAACAGGCCGCCTAAAATATAACCTATTCGAGACATATTTTGAGTCACACCGAGTGCCAAGTTTCAATTTTCTTCGAGAAAAAAAGCTAAAAGCATAAAATCATTCATAGTTAATTTAATTAATTTCGAAAATACAATTCAATGTTTAATTAGTAATATATTTTATATAATTAATGTAATGTGTGTGTGTGTGTGTGTGTAATTAAGCGATATTTTCTCTATTATCTATTTTTACTAATAATGGTTTCTACTTAAAAATTTGTATAGTTTCAAAGTAAAATTTATTTAATACATCTTTGTTAACAATAATATATGAATAAATTGTTACTTTTTGTTTCTTTCCTTGTAACTATTTCTATCTCGACTGTAAGAGGCCTGTTTCTGTAACTTTTAACAATGTTGTTATGCATCACTACATATTTTTTGTTATATCATGTAATAATTGCATAAAGATACATAATGATATCATTAAAGATTACAGAATAGACCCCTAAATTTTAATGAACTTATGAAAAAATTATGTAAAGAATGTTTTATATCGAGGTATTATGCGAGCAATCTAATAAAAAGGTTAAGTATAACATATGAAATGTATTTTCAGTAATGGAGGAAAATGGAAGTAAGAGAATGAGGGGCAGAGCTAGTCGTGGTCGTGGCCGCGGACGTGCCCGGGGAGGCGGTCGGACTAGAGGAAAGACCAAAAAGCAAGTGAAGGTATATAACAAACAACTTACTGAGTTCGCACTCAAATTGTATTCTGATGATCTGATATTCATGCGTCGAAATTGCTTCTAGGTTATCGAAAGTGATGATGAAGATACTCCTCAGCAAGCAGACGATACTCCTGCGGAGACGATTGGTGGCGAGCAAGAAGAGCATGAACCTCCAGTGACTCAGCAACCATCTCTCGAGCAGCAGTTCGATCTGGAAGCCGACATATCGCAATTGGAAGCGCCAACTTTCACGACTATTAATCGGGGTCCACCGGAGCCGATGCTGCGTTTAAGATGGGACCATCGAGTAAATCTTATAGGAGAAAAAGTACTGAATCCTATGATACACTGTTGCGACAAGTGTCTGAAGCCAATTCTTATCTATGGACGTATGGTATGTTTCATATACCTGTGTTAGAGAGAATCATGTTATAAATTAGCTCTTAATTATTACTCTTAATATGTGCTTTTAGATACCTTGCAAACATGTATTTTGCTTATCATGTGCTAAAAGAGAAGACAAAGTCTGTCCTCGTTGCATGGAGAAAGTGTCCCGAGTGGAACAAACTGGTCTGGGTACTGTATTCATGTGTACTCATGGTGGAACGAGATATGGCAATGCAGGATGTAGAAGAACATATCTCAGTCAAAGGGATCTGCAAGTAAATAAATATTAATATATTGCGCAAAATTAACATAGAAATTACTTAATATGCATTTAATATATTTTATAATCTATTGTATATTATCATTGTTTATATTATTATGTATTATTTATTGTATATAGGCTCATATTAATCATCGTCATATATCGGCGCCATCTCAACCAGTCCAAGGGATGCAAGTCGATCCTCCGCAATACGTACATGCTAAATCGGAGATGGAGTCGCAATTGACGAAGGTATCCTCTGTGCCGATGCAAAATACACGACTCAAATCCGTACAATCTCACATGGTTCAGCCGATCATGGGTAACGATCCTCGCGTCAACTCGTTAGTGAGCCAACAGCCAGCGTTGGAGCAGCACCGGCAACAACACAGACAGCAACAGCAACAGCAGCAACAGGCGATGATGTCGATGCAGAGTTATGCGCAGAGCACCGCGCCGCCTCCGCCACCTCCGAGTAACGCCCCGATGCGAACTAATCTAATTACCGTGCCGATTCAAGACACGGCGTCCTTAGCCACGCATGATCTTCACGGACAACAGAGTCATCATTATTATCCGCCACCGCCGCCGCCTCCACCACCTCCCCAAGTAAATTATGGTTACAATGTGCCACCGCCGGTGTCGCAGGCAACACAACAGTACTATCCGCAGCCGCAGCATCCGACCCAGGTGTCTTATGTGCCACCACCGCCACCGCCGCAGCCGCAGCAGCAGCAATACGTATCATCGACGGCGACCTCCATAAGACCGTCGCCTGCTGGTTATATACAGGAACCCCAATATGGTCCGCTGCCGTCTCAGCAACAACCGCCACCGCCACCACAGCCACAGTGGTCGCAACATCAACAGCAGTTTTATAGATAAAGAAAAAAAAGACTTTTATGGAATGCTGTGCAGTGTTGATAATAATGTGTGAATGAATCGTAAAAATAAGAGATATACTATATATATAACTATATACATGTATGTATAGAATGGATGTGATGTCATCAACGAGAACTTGGTGCTCTTTACGAGATTTTCTACTTTTAAAGATTTTTAAAATATTATTTAGTTTAAAGAAATTTGAGAAGAATTACTCTCATATGACACAAGCTCTATGGTAAAAGAGCTCTATGATAATTTATTTTAATTTCACAATAAAATAAAACTGATTTATTTTTATTATGACTCCTTCAATTTGTTGATATTTGACTGATGAAATCAGTATTGATCTTTATTATACTTTATCAAATGATTGCCGATTATCAAATGATAATTGTTATTATATTAAAATAGTCAAATTCATATATTTATTATTTCAAAAGTTATTAAAATGTTATAATAGCATAAAATTTGGTGCAAAATATTAATAGTGAGATTACATCTCTTAATAAAAGCTATGCGAATCCTTTTGAAGTGTTTTTAGACGTAATAATACTAAAAAATTCAAAATATGTTTATACATTATTCAAGAATTTTCCAAATCTCTAACATTTTCTTTTCGATCATATCAGTTGTAATACATATTGTGTGGTAATGAAATTAAGGATATTTCGTCGGTAGAATTTAATATTGTACAGACTGTGTAACGATTGTAACTTATGTACAAAACTAATGATATACATACAACATGTACATATACATGTAATAATAATAATTATTACATTATATTCTCTTAAAACATGCCTCGTATGAATTCAACAAGAATTCATCAGCCATTCAACTAATTTTGGCCTTCCATTTTTCACATTAATAAATATTAATTGACTAAATACTTGTAATAAAAGTACTTAAAAGATTTGTCAAGGACGCTGCACATGAATAGAAGATCAAAATTGTTCAGAATGCACTCGTACATAAAGATTTTTATCACACCATACATAAAAATAGTTCTTAATTTCATTCCATATATATATATATATATATATATATATATATATATATATATCGCTATATATATATATAATCACTGCCCCTTTTTAATATCTTGTTCCCTTTATGTTTTACATCCATCTTTATTATATTTACAAACTCTGTGTAATTATGGATTTTATATACAACATACCCCTCATTATTCGTAATTATTACTATTTAAGCTATCATCCCCACACACTTTCACTTATTTATTTATATATATTTATTATTATATATATATATATATATATATATATATATACACACGCGAATGTATCTATGAATGAATGAAAAATAATATGAATTTTATATAATATTAAATACATTTTTATATAAAATAAGCGACCTTGTATGAAATTAGAAATTATGCTGCTAAAGAACTGACATTTTTACATACATCCTACATATAACTGCAACCAGCAGGAAATTTAGTAAAAAAAAATTGACTTGCAATTTCTTTATAATCAATAAAATGAATGTGTTATAATCGACTGTAACGCTTTAGAAGTGTTATTGAAAAAATATATATTTAAAAAAAAATTAAAATAACAAGTATTAACAAAACTAGTCGATTTTAACGTATATATATATATATATAACATTCGCAAATTAATTAAATGTTCTATCGCATTTTTTATGGCAAAATTTTACCATAAAGTAAAATATTAAATCTGTATTCTTTTTTTCTTTTCAATTTTATACAGAATCATATCCCTATATGTAACGAAAACATTTTTTTATTATATGTTATTATTAAATTATCATTGAATTTTTTAATGGAATAGTGCACTCTAATTGTATGGCACTATAAATATCTATGAGGTCGCCTTTTTAATATTAAAATTTTTAATTGTCATCATTCATTGATTTTTATAATCTTCAGTAACAAAGAACACTATCTTGCTTTTTGGAAAATGGCATCGTATGACGCAGAATGATTTTATATTTTCCACTTTTAAAAATCTTCTAAAGATATATTTTTTTGATCGCCGGCACTAATATGGCATAATAATCAATAAAGGGTATTATATAAAATCTGTGATTATTGCATGCAATGATAATGAAGATACTTTAATTATTAGAATACAAAATAAATGCTATACAAAAATAAAATTTATTGCAAATTATTGAAATAAAAGTTAGGATTTTTCTATTTACTAGATAATTTAATTTTTTTTTAAATAGCAAAACATTAATTTTTTTTTAATTAGGAGCTTTTTTTATGATAATTGATGGAAGATCTTTCAACTTTTTTCACATAAAAAAATTTGATGAAAGATTAAAACCAGTAATTTATATAAGAATATTAATTACAATATTAATATGAATATTATAAGAAAATAAATATAACGATATAAAACTAAAGTCACAAGACGATAATTAAAAAATGGTAATGATTTAATCAACCAACTCTGGCAAATAAGTAATTTTATTACTTGTTTATTTTTAAATCATTACCAAAATAAATATAGCCAATAATTTAATATTTGTGAAAAAAAATTTATCAAGTTATGTATATACAAAAAAATACGCTTAATAAGTTGAATTCTATGCATTATTTTTTTGTGCGGAACTTAATTATGTTCAACAAAAATAATATTTAGGTCTTAACATGCCTAAATTATAGTGATAATAATTCTATTCATAGATACATAGTTAAAAAAATACGTTTTAGACCTATTATTGATTATAGCCATATTATAAACCCGCTTTATAATGTGTATTTCTTTAGAAGTTTTTTTAACTGTAATTTATAAACCTATTGAAATTCAGTCAGTCTCATATAATCACGTACTAGTAGTAGGATGATTGTGTATATTGACACTGACTTGTGGAATAAGCGGTGATGCAAGTGGTTTGGGTGTTGTGGATTCAGGTATTGGTATGGAAACTGCAGGAGGAACAGGCGAGTGTTTCTTAGCTCTGTCTGGTTGCCAAGGTTTTGCATGATCTTTGTTTAATCTCTCACTCAGTGCTTTCAATGCTATTTGCCTGGAAAATAGATATCAATTGGAAAAATCAAAATTATGCTTCAAAAATAGACTAATTATATAATATTTTAATTCATTGAAATTTCGACCTAACTGGCCAGTACAATTTAATTAGAAACACTACGTTTCGACCCTTAGGTACGGGTCCTTTTCAAGTGTAACTTTCAAGATGTTGATTCGACAGCAGTAAAATTACTAATGTTAAACCGGAGACAAGTAAATCAATTTAAGTCAAACGTTAAAAACACACTAATATGATATGACGTTTGACTTAAATTGATTTACTTGTCTCCGGTTTAACATTAGTAATTTTACTGCTGTCGAATCAACATCTTGAAAGTTACACTTGAAAAGGACCCGTACCTAAGGGTCGAAACGTAGTGTTTCTAATTAAATTATACTGGCCAGTTAAGTCGAAATTTCAATAAATTTGTATAGTTTTACTCATCACTGGCGACTTCATTAGTTTTATCGTTATAATATTTTAAATATTGAAAATTTAATTCCTATCCTAAAATTTAATTTATATTTGTTGTGTGTTTTATCATAACTACTCACCTGCGTCGTTCACTATCATGCGGATCAATACCAGGAAGATTAATAACTAAACCAGGTGGTGTGTTGGACATGTCAAATCTCCTAACTACTTTTCGACAAAGTCCAATACGTACAAAAAATCCATGTATAGTATTACTCACTACTGCTATTGGCGGTTGCAAGACGTTTGGGAAAAAGCTGTAAGAAAAGCTCAAGATAAAACTCCATAGAACTGTTAGTATTTTTCACAAATGGAGCAAAATTACAAAATTCTTACCTTGCAAATGTAAAATTATCTGCCATGTCTCCTCGAGTACCATTATTGTGTTTTTGATAAAATCTTAGATATATCCAAGATATCAACAGTCCACTAAGAAACATAGTGGGATGAGTACCTTCTAGTAATCCAACAAGCCATAATATCAATCCCACAATCCATACCATTAAGGGTATATTTCTATTTGTGATCTTTCCAATGGGGGTCTTCATTAAGATATGATCCGGCATTATTTGCTTCACTGCTACTGCGACCCCTACAAAGTAGAATTATCATATTATTAAGAAACTTTTTAAAACATTTCTTTGGTTCAGAAAAGTACAAACATTTTACAAGCGTAAACAATATTAAAAATATTTTGATATCACATGTATTAATGTATTAAATTAATCAATTAACTTTCATTTACTTATTCTAGGTATCCCAGCAATCTGTTAATTACATAAAAAAGGTACCTGCAATGTAGCCAGTCAATCCATGTATGTGTATGTTAAAGAGCAGATCCGGATTGTTGGTGCACATGTAAAGGAACAGGTAGAAGAGCGCCGAGAGCACGGCGACACCGAAGTTGACGATGGCGAAGAACGTCATCATCTCGAAGGCGCCCCATAGAGGCTCGATCAGTTTACCGCAGAGGCCGACGGTGATGACGTCCACGCATACCTCCCAGAAGTGTATCTCCAGGAAGCAGAAGGTGAAGGCGGTCCAGAACCAGAAGACCGGCGGCAGAAGGTAACCTGGTGTCACGCTCAGGATGCGCACTGCCTCCGCGGAAAAGGACAGACAATAGGAGAACAACACCACCACGCAGATGGACTTGACGCTGGTGCTCGTATTGCCTAATAGGGCTGCAGCCTGTTGCCTCAAGTAAGGGATATTCCTACCCAGGCCCTTTATCGCCGCCATCGCCGCGAGCAAACCTAACCTATCTTTCTTCGCACCCCTCTCCCCCACCGCAAATATTACCGTCTGACATTGGCCTCGGATCGCGTTCGAAGATCGAACTCTTCGGAGCAGAACGTTCGACCAATCAGGGACGAGAACAATTTTTTGACGTTTCTGATTGGTTGAAAAATTTTTTGACGTTTGATCGACCAGTCGGAAACGTCAAAAAATTTGTCTCGTCCCTGATTGGTCGATCGAATGTCATCTTCGCTCGATTAGTGGATTTTCGAACGCAATCACATCGATCGACGATATTCGATATATCGATTGCCATCTAGAATTGAGACGGAGGAAACGTTTCACGGTTCAGCATTCAAAAATGCCGGCGTTAGCGAGCTAACGCATCGTCATTCCTGTTTTGTTTGCATCCTCGCTCAGTCGTCGACGTTAAGCTGCGCAAAATTCGGGATCTTCGTGGAGTCGCGCGAGATGACGAGTAAATGCAGATGTTATCTCGTAAGTTCTTTCACGTATTTCATCATTTTGTATCCGAGTCAATGATTAATCCGCGACTTGAAGGTCATGTGAAGTCGCAGTTCCGAAAGTTTGGATGTAAAAATGTAAAGCATGGCAGTTTATATTTGAGTAACTCAAATCCAGGTAAATTTTCTTCGGCGGACGAATGTTTATAAAAATAATTATTTATGATAGATGATTATGAATTTAGTCACATTGGACTTTTGGAAATATTTTTACACACATATTCTGCTTTTTGTGTCGTTTAACAAATATAGTCTGACGATTATCCATTTACTTGATTTATTTTTACTTATATATTGAAATGGAAAATTGTAGGATATATTTCTTATTTTTTTCCTTCTCTCAAACACATTTATTCTTTGATAGTTTTTGATATCTTTGAATAATTTTGCGTAATAGACAAATTCACACACATACACACGCACAACACTCACAGAGAGACACACACATATACATACATATATAAAATTAAAATCGTATATGTCTTCTATTTGCAATTTCTACCACTCAAGTCTTAATTAATTTTACAATATTTCCATCTATAATTTGCATATATTTTTCCAAATACATTTAATTTTTATCAATAAAAATTTGTAATAATTTATATTCATTATTCCTCACTTTGTGAATTACCATTTATAGGTAACTGTTACTAAAAATTTTAATATGAGATCTTGCCGCGGCGAGGCGCCACGTTAGTTATTTTGTAAGAATTATTGTGCGCTTTCCTCGTCACTTTACGTGCATTTCCCGCCAAATTCCCGCGATATTGTTCGTAGATTCGTCAATCTCTTTGAAAGTTTATCATTATTTCTTTCTCTCGCGCTGTTTACAGACAAGTCACAGCTGAATTTGATTTGATCCGTTCGCGAGGTTGATTGTTGCGTCGAGGAAGATGCGATATTCGGAGGAAATCACCTCAGCAGCAAAACTACTGCAACAATAGTAGAATTCCCGCGTAGACGAACAACAGGTAAAGTATAATATTATAACAGTAAATATTAATTTGTCATGTTTATGAAGAATCATGATTAAAGTCATTGTTAAAATCATTGATTAAAAGTTGCAATGTGAACATTAATAACCTCTTCGAATGGCCGAATATTTGTTTTGAACTCGAAATCACAGCGCAATTAATATATTGACTTATTTTAGTCTGCAAAATTTATCGAAAAGATTAAATTCCAAATATTATAAGCGAATTTCTATTTTAATTGAATTATCGATTTTATTATTTTAAAATAGGTACGAATAGATAAAAGCTGAATTCAACATAAATATTATACAATTATTTATATATGTAGATAAAATTATAGAAAATAAAAGAGGAAGAATAATAATGAAAGTATATACACACACATAAATAATAGAGCGAGACAGAGCGATTGTCTGTAGTGTTATTTCTATTTGATAAAAACAGAATTCCACATTTAAAAAATGGTTGTTCGATTAATAGTCGTCATTACGTGAAACTAAGCTAAAATTTATGAAATATAACGAAAAAAATTTTATCTCAATCTTATCTTAATCTTAAACTAAAAACATTATGATTATTTTATTTAAAATTAGGAAAATCAATTTAAAAAAAATTTTTTTAATAATTAACGCTATAAATAATTAAAATAAAGTATTCTTTTTCTACAGGCTATTCAATTGTTAATCATCTGCAAGGCAAAAACTTTGTCGAGCTTGGATTCTATCGTCTGCGGAATTACACACAGCTTTCGAGAGTAATAACGGAACTTGTCTGTTATCTCTGAAGCAAGAGGATCGATTGAAAGCGCATAAAGAAAATTTGGAGCAAACTCGTCAATTAAGAAAATCACTGCGAGAACAGCAGCGACGAGATCAATTGCAGAATGTCACACGGCTAATTTGGATTTCAACAAAGGAATGAGCAGCCCTCGAAATCAATTGAGGTGAGTAAAGAATAATAATATAAAAATATATTTTTGTATTCCACATTTAATCACAATCTATATACATTTATGTATTTACTGAGACTGAATAATATTTATGGAAATATTCATGATAATACGATAGATCTAAATTATTTAACAAAAATAATTTTATATTTGAATATATAATTTGCGTTCAATATGATTATAAAGAAAGAAAAAAATAGAACATGTCTATTATATAAGCACTCTCGTTATCAGATTTTCTCTGTGTGTACGTTCCTTCGAGATATTGCTGCTGCGTTTACTTTTTAATCGATCGCACCCGATTATCACTCTGTGCATAGTATCTATATACGTAACTGCTCGCATCGCATTCGTAGTGACCTACCAAATGAGATAGAATTGAGGATTATGAGCACAGATATTTCTAATACTACGGGCGAAAATCGGACAAAAGTGATTGTATCCACTTGCGAGTCTTCCTCTTGTCGCGAGTCTAGAAACGTCGCCGTCGACATCCCCGACATCGCACCGTCGTCGGGACGAAAGTGCTCGTGTCCGTCGAGGCCGTCAACGGCGATTCGCTGCGCGCCTTTTCGCAGACGGGTATCCTTCAGTGACACCACCGCCTTCATTGGGACCGCCGCCGACGATTATCGCTGCGCTACGATTATGCAAGATGACGATCCAAGGAGCTCGTGTCACGATAATGGCAGAGAATCCGAGAGTAATATCGCGAGAGAACGGGAAAAGAACTTCGACTACGACATTTGGCAGGCGGACGATTCGTCGACCGGTAGAAGCGATGACGGATATTCGGAAAGTACCCCGAGGATCGATAATTACGCGGAAAATTGTCGCGCATCCGGTTGCACTTTCGACGAAGGTCAGCGTTCGGAAGATATCGATGAGCAAACGATCGAGAACGATTACGGACGCGTGCGAGGAGACTGGAGAGGCGAGGATGACGTCTGTTCAGCGGTTCGCGCGATTGAAAATGAGAAACAGGAAATAAGAAAAGACGATATCGTGTTGAAATCAAATGAGAACTTATTAAATCACATTCGCAAAGATGTAGATTCGATCGTTGACGATGAGCATCGCATGCGAGGAGGCTGCGGTGGATGTTGCTGCGGAGCACGTGAGAAGTAAAATATCATTCTTGCGCTAAATGTTAAATTTCGCACAAAAAATACCGCTTTATTTAATCTTTCTTTGCGATCATTTAAAGAAGAATTATAATAGAACATTTGCATCTTTGTTTTGAAAATATTTTAGTAATTAAATTAAATTGTAGACGGCTGCTAAATCTTTTCCTTAAGCGTGCAAATATTTTTATCGATGATATTTATGACTGAAATGTCTCGACGCGATATTAGCATTCGGAGGAGTTACGGTGGTTGTTGGGAAGGATTCTCGCAGCTAAATGAATCATGCGCGTCCAATCCGAACGTCAAGGCAGCATCGTGCACCATGTCGTCGCGTTGTTGGTGTCGTTGCCCTCGAGTCTGCAAGAAAGCAGCGAAATGCGAAACGCCTCCGTGCACGACAGACGTCCGAAGCTGCAGCGGCGGTAGATGTTGCGGCGGCGGATGTCGTTGCGAGAAACCCGGTCAGATCTGCATATCGTCGCCGAAAATCTGCAGGTCACCAGCTCGTGCATCGCGTGGAAAATCACCCTGCGCGTCGCGTTGTCCTTCGCAGTCACCTTGTCCCAGCAGAGGCTGTTGCAGCGGAGCCTTTGAACGTGCAAGGTGCACAGTGTTAATACATTAACATTCTCATTTTTCAGTTAAAATTTTAATTTGTCGAATATATGTATAATAAACATGGGCGTCCGCAAGATATTTTCTAGGATGAAACATGAGAAAAATTTTTTATTTCTTATTTTTGATTCTTTCTTAATTTGTTTTATTTTTATTTTGTTTATAATTAAATATGCAAATAAATTCTAGTGTTTATTCAAAAGGAAAGCAAACGCTTAATTTTCGTACTGATTCCAAAGGGGGGTAAATGGTAATAAATATATAGAAAAAAAAATAAAAAGTATTGAGAATATTTTCTAATTCTATCTGCATCAGGCTTCAGAACTTCTATATGTGATAGAAAAATTTGACATCGTACTTTGAATACAGTAAGAGTAAATTCAATTTACGTGCACGCAGGTCGAGCAACTTGAGATGCCGGTCCATCATTGATAGTGGATGCTGCATCAGCGAGAGAGCAAAGTGCGGTATCGAGGGAGCTTGCTGCCGGCTGAGATTGCAATGCGAATGTCTCGGTGGTGGCCTCGACTGTCGGCGATGCGGAAGGAAAGTCTACCAGGCTGAGATGCAAGTAAGTCATAATATTATTAAAATACATTGAAGTGTGGATCGCGTAAAAAAGGTTAGTAAAAAAAATATTTGATTGAATGATATTTGTTCCCTTCCTCTTCCCTTAATAATACAAATAAGAATATAAAAGAAATAATTTTACGTCATGTCATAATAAATGATGGCATAAAGTTAAGAGCAGAATGAATTTTTGAGAAGAATATATTAGAGAAATTGTTACGTGCAAAATTTATTTACTTTCCAAGATCGTTTCCGGAGTACCGTACCATTCCATTTGCTTCAGTTGCTTTTGTTGCCGAAAGCCATTGGAATCGCTAACTTATCAGGAGAATTGCGGCGAGATTTATTGCAAACGTTAGTATTATTAAATTATGGAAAACAATTTTTGAAATTTTTTACAAGATAAGTTCTTTTTTTCGAGCTCCTAATACTTTTAAAACTTATAAATATCTCTCTTGCACACTTAACACCTTTAAAATGGCTAATGTTAGACTAAGTTTGATCAGTTAATATCGATGTTAACTGAGTTTCTTCGATAAATTGCACAGAATGTTACGTTCGTAATTTCGGACCGCAAGGATATGGTTATGGTGTGGGAGCAGGCGTACTGCAGACTCCCTTGTGAACTCGTCGATTATCTAATATCGGTCGCATAGTCGCATACGAAAGTATTCAAGTATAGTTATACACATTTTTTCTCATACGCTTCTCTGTTTCTTCATGATAATCGTACAATATCAAACACGAATGTTTTTTTGTGGTATCATAACGTTTTGTACGTTTCGTATACACGATATTTGGTGGGCGTTTTTTTTTTAATCGAATAAAAATCTTGTGGCAAATATACTCGATATTGTTTATGATATTTAATCTCGTTTATTCGATAATAAGTCATGAAAGGCAAATAAAACACAAACATGCAAAAGCCGAGTTGCTGAATTAAGAGAAAAACAGAGAGTGGAAAAAAAATTCGCGAAGCATGAGAAGGAATATAAAAGCTGCTTTTGTACAGGAAGAGAGAGAGAAAAGTGATATACTCGGTTTTTATCGAGTCTCTTTGCCAGCGGATTGCAAAATAACTCGTCAAGGACCGATCGTAGAATAAACTGGATAAAATGGAGAGGAGGGTTTACGTAGGGATTCAAGGCGAGAAAAGTGGAAACAGGAAAAGATTCGCGACGTGGGGGAAAGATTGAACGAATACGGGCGCCGCTATATTTCGGGAGGAAGAGGACGGAGAGAAAGGAATAAGCGTGCATACATACGGAGATACGTTCGCCGGGGGTTGCAAAACAGAGAACGAGGCGAAAGACGAGAAGGTGGACGAGGAAAGAGTGAGTGGTTGGTTTATTGAGTCTCTCTCTCCGGCGCGGTGGATTTGCGCGGAGGAAGGCGCAGGCGGAGGAGCGTTTATATAGCTTTCAGGCGCAGAAGCTTAATCTAATTTCAAATATAAATCTGTTCTCTCCGTTCTCTCTCTCTTTCCTTTTTCCTCATATTCCGTTCCGTTCTCTTTTTCCTTCTTCTCTCGCTCTTTTCCTTCCATCTACCCTTACTGGCGCCCTTCCTATCCGTGTAGCGGCGAGTTTACATTATACTCGTCCGGTTACGAATAATGTTTTTCGCTTTTCCCATTAACGATTACGAGACACGACGACTTACGTAGCGCTTCAACCGGCGAACGACTTTGTCGTTCCACGTTTTTCCATATAAGTATAATCATGAGCACAATATAACACGTTAAGTCTGATTATGAGAGAAAAATCGTATAAAGACATCCCCTTCTCTTATGCAGTTTACAACAATCAATGCTGAATTTTTATGACAAGTAGTTTTTTTTTTTTTTAATAAAATTTATAGAACCAGCAAATACAGGTCTTTAAAAGTTTATGATAAGTACGTGACGCGTTTAACTGAATTCACCCGAAATTTTCGATTCTTTTCAGGATAAACCACAAATTTATTTATTGGACCATCTATACTTATTCTTTCGCACGTCGTCTGCGTCTACGATTTATTCGATAAAACTTAATATTATATAAAAGATCCGTTTGATCGAGCGATTTTGATCGAATTCCGCCGGTCTTGTTTACGTAGAGAGACGCGTCGCGGAAGTTTGTCGACGAATTAACCGCGCGACCGCGGAATATTTACACTACAGCTTGGAACAATTCCCGATTTTTTTTACCGCCCGGGACTCTATGCCAATTTACCAATGTAAACCGGCGTATTTAAATTGGCCTCGGGCCGGGAGGACTCGGGAATTTAAAAACGCTAGCTGCAATTTTTTTTGCGCTACCACGACGGCGGCATCGGCGGCGGCGATGGCGAAGCACCGCATCGCGTCCGGTGCATCGAAATCGGCAAAATATCTCTTTCCATTTGACGGCCGCTGATTCGGCCCGGGTCTTTTGTGCGCTGCGTGGCGCGCTTATTTCGTACCGGTATGAAAATCAATTATTTCGTTAATTCGTGCGTTACATTGGCTGTCACGGGGCCATCACTGTGAGCGACAGCGGCCCAAGGCGCTATTTTTCAATTCCCGATGTCGCCCTCGCCTTTCGCGAACCCGTATTTCCGTTTCGCTCTGTCGTCCCCGGCGGCCTTATATCCCTCTCTCTATTTCTCAATGTTGGGTCCACCAGCCCGGAAGCTCGCTAAGACTCAAATTGCCGTTTAATTCATCGCTTTAGATCAGTCGAGAAGTCTTGATACAAGAAATTAATCGTTTTCTTATCAAGTTCGAAATTACGAGAACTTCAAGACTCTGAGTTGTGCGCGTAATTCGCGTATTTTAATAAACGAGATAAATCATTCGTATATATACTAATCGTAATTCGGTGAAGTCAGATATGTATCTCATTAATTTCGTAAGAATATTAATATTATTGTATTGAAATATTAACGCGAAGAAATAATCGATATAAATGCGTTCCGATAAATTGATATTGATTTTTGGCGAAACAATCCTCAATTGATTACGCCATTCTGTATATTTTGACAAAGAATTGAATGATATTTTCACAAATAATTGATTGTGCGTAATATCTGTCAGAATCTTTTACAAATGAGAAAAGAGAATAACTTTTTAGCATTTTTACTTCTTTTACGGAAAAATTACGCGAGGTGCTGCGAAATTGGGCTCGAAATTACACAAATTAATGAAACAAATATCCTTAAAATGAAAATAATATATGGTGTAAAATATAATACCTTATACTATCCTACGATAATTAAGTTTTTTCCAGAGTCTTTTTTTTATGCGAGAAAAACAGTTTGATATATTTTTAACATACATAATGTGCTTGTTCGCGTAACATTGGTAAAAGTTCCTTTAATTCGGTTGTTCCATATGCAAAAGTTACTTTAATTTATTGTAATGCGTCTGACTGGTCCTAATTAACGTACAGTGCGAATAAAACACGCTACGGTTGATGCGTGATATGAGTTCAGTCTCTACATCGTCGTTCCGCGAATGAGTGTATAATTAATTACCAGCATTTGGACATGCGCGTAACAGCAATGAAATCGCGACGGCAACAATTTGTGCGAGAAAGAGAGAGGGATGGAGAAAGCTTGACTACCTACCTACGGCATATATATAACGTTGAAACTAATATCATCTCATTTGTCAAAGTACACGATACGTCGTCTTTCGGCGATAGGAAGCACCTTTTAGGGGAGGACAAATGCCAGACCCCAAAACGTAGGGCCCCCAAACACTGTCACAACATACGATGTGTTAAAAGCGGCGCGATATTAATAGCGTGTTATGAATTAGCCATTTTTGTGCGAACCGGCGTACAAGTAGGTCACCAAATTCCCATGATATGTTTTCAATTGGGCAGGGAAGAGAGCGTATTTCGGGCTTTTGTAAAAAATCGATATGACTTAAGTATTCGCGCACACAACACGAGAAAGAAACGGAGATAAGTTTTCGATCAAGTTTATTCTACACGATCATCTGTATTAACAATTTTACTAAATAAAAGCGATTACTTTTATTTATATTTTTAATCAATATATAATAATAGAATAAAATCAAATAATACTTAAGTAAAATCATGTTATTTATTTATTTATTAGGTTGAATAATTAAATTCTGCATAAGTGTCTTTCTCGTGATATTTTAAAAGATATATGCGCGTGTGTTTACTGTATAATGTGATTTTTTATAATAATAAAATTGCTCCTTTAAAATAAATATTTAATTCAATGGTTTAAAATAAATATTTAATTAAAGATTTAGAACTTTGAACAGATTGAATATTTGTTTAGCGGTACTTTTTCGCGATTAAATCCAATAAAGAGGTAAAGGAATATATAATGCCGTTCGGAATAAATTAGACGTATCGTTTTAGTATTGAACCGACCTACGCAGTGAAATAAAATAAAGGTTAAACTGTATGAAATGACAGATGCAGTTTGCGGTTAGAAAAGTGAACCAGATCTCGGGATGAAATTCAGGGAGTGGGCGAGGGGTGACCATAATCTTACCCCGTGTGTCTAATTGCCTGACGCGTAGATGCTACCGTAAAGAATCTCACACGTGCATTTAGAATGCATTGAAGTCCATTCACTATATTACCGAAGGGGTAAGGGATCATTTTCTAAATGACGCTTGTCGAATCGAGCAATATTTAAATCGAATTACTAATGCGAACTTAGGGAGACAATCGCGTTTTATCTCTCTTTGTTATTCATTTAATGTATTATTGATTCGTATAGAAAAAAAAACCGAGTAACAAGAAATGTGTATTATTGTATTCTGTCGCGTGCAAAATTTCCAAGCAAACTATTTTATTTTATATGTATATGGTATATACTATCAATTTTATTTTAAATAATTACATATAAAGTTATTTTAATAATTAATTACATAAAGTTAAAGTAACCTTTTAAATGTTTTGAAAAATAAATGAAATAGAATTTTAAATATGTTTTTCTTCAGTATTAAATCTGACAAATAGTTACTTGAAATTAAATTATTAATGATCTTATGCAAATGACGATTAAAGCAAGTACAAAATAAATCGCTCGAATTTTCGAGCAAAAAATTTTGGAAAATACTTTGACGCATCTTAAGTGTAGAAGCGAAGGTTTAAGGAGGAAAAAAAAACTTTCTCGATGAGACGAAATCGATTGATAGTCGATATATATTCCGGCCGTCGTTTCCGATCTCCTCGTCCGTGAAACGATCGACGAGAGAGCGCAACACGGTATAATAACAAAAACATTAATAATAATACGTCGAAGAGCGGGACCGGGTCCCCGATGTGTGCAGCGCGCGCGCGTGTTTAATTTGCATGGTATAAATCGTGTTTCCGGTCGAGCACGCAACGCAAACACGCGTTACGTTTACGCTCTCGGTCGGCTTCCCTTCTCGGACCGACGAGAGAAAGAGCGCCGTTCTCTCGCGTCGTGTCGCGCATTGTGACCCCGCTAATTTATGATTCGATAAATAAATCAGCGCCATTTCGCCTCTTCTCCTCTCTCTTCTCTTTCCCCCGTAAAAACCCCCATTGTTGTTATTGTTACTCGCTCGCGCACACTTGTAAGATGATCTCGGATATTACGCCCAGTTAACCATCACACGGTTACCATCATCGGACCACCGAAAGGGTGGAGGTCCCTACCTCTCTTTTTCTTCGGTTACTGAACTCTCTTCTGCGTTCGTTTATACCCAGGCACGCCGATACGTCACGTTACATTTCATGATCCGCACGCGTGTAATGAATATTCATAACGCGCTATTGCACGCGCTGCTAAATCTCGATATGTGCAAATTGTAACGTAACAACGCAGTTGATTCTCAAATCATAAGCGTCT